GAGATCTTATGTTTGTAAAATCCAACCCCATATTGCTGATAGAAAGTTATGGGTTCACTTCTTTCAGAAAATTTTGTATTGTACACAACTCAAGTGGTTCTATCAGCTGGAAGGAACCAACATTCACACTTGGGAACACTTGGCTACTGTTTTTTACAAGCAGTATCAATACAATGCTGATCTTGCACTGACTCGTGTGCAATTACAAAAAATGACTATGGGCTCGAGTGAAGGGTTCAAAGAGTATGTCCAAAAGTGGTGAGATCTGGCTGGACGAGTTCAACCTCCACTGTCTGGCCGAGAGCTAGTTGATATGTTCATGGGCACTCTGACATGTCCATTCTTTAATCACCTGATTGGGAGTTCTTCATCTGATTTTACTGAGCTGATTCTAACTGGGGAACAGGTTGAAAGTGGTATCAAGAGTGGCACACCAATCTATTGATGATTATAAGTCTGTCAGATATGATTACAAGGCCCGCACCCTCAACAAAGTTTGTCTCGCTCCATCTCATTTTTTTAGAGCTTTTGAGGAGCAGACCTAAACGGGATGAACATGCCCATTTACAATCCCTAGTTGAACCATGACTAACCACACATAACCTCTAAAAGCTTAAGACGACCATTGATATAATTATTTTTTAAAAGATAGATATTTATTTTTATATCTTTGTGTAATAGCATATTGAATTTTATATATATATATATATATATATATATATATATATATATATATATATATATATATATATATATATATATATATATATATATATAAACTAGTTAATAGTTTAGATTAATATATAAATTTTAAATATTAAAATTGACTTTAATAGAGATATTCTTTATGTTAAACAATTGATTTATATAATATCTATTTTTTTAAAGTGGAACATGCACTCTTCAATTCAAGAGCTTACAATTATTAAATGTTTTCACATTAAATATTTAATTCATCCCACACCTAAAACCATACAAGTTATTTGATGCTTTTCTCATAATTAGATTAAGTGCAACACAAATGAAACTTCAAGAGAGGATCCTAAAATATCAACTTGTGATTACATATTTAGGGATAGTTTATGAATAATTCTAAGAGTTTTCTCAGATAAGATTGAAGTCCACACCTCCTTTCAGGTTGAATTCCATATAATCATATTTACTATCAAATATTCTAATAAGAGGAGTTAAAAAATTCTTTATCTTGAAACTAATTCAATATTGACCGTGCCTGCATTTTCTAATGTAAATATTATCTTTTGATATTTTTTAATTAAAAAAATAATATTTCACACACTATAAATTTTTTTAAATTTAATATATCTCACATTTCTAAAGAAAAATGAATGTGCAGATAAATAAGATAATGCAAGTTTTTTATTTATAATTATATATTAGACAGGGATACACTTTTTATTTATATTCTTAAAAAAAAATTTGAGGAATAAGTTAGACATTGTCCAAATATTATTTTATTAATTGTTTAATGAATTAGATTTTATGTCCTGTCTTTTTTGTTTTTCCTTTTTATTCAATAATTTATCTTTATAAAAAAAATTAAAATATAATCTCGCCAATGCCATCTATGCCTTATATTTACATATTTATTATTGCTTTATTAACTTTAGTATAAAATTTGAAAATAAAGATAAAGTAATACTAAGATATACAATAAACAAAAAATAAAGTAACCTTAAATTAAAAAAAAAATACACACAAAATTGCAGAAATGAAAATTCAACAATTAAAGAAACAATGGTATATTCTTTCCGCTTCTAATTATTTTACATAATAATAACATTGGATTTTTTTATTATATTTTTAAGTATTTACTACTCTATTTATTTTATATTATTAATAAATTATAATTTCATAAAATAAAATTATATTTATACAATTTTAATTATATATTAGTTTTTAATCTAAATTTTAATAGACATAATTTTATCTTTAAAAGTATATAAATATTTTTAAAATGAATAAGTGAAATGATTCAAATTCAAATTTAAATTTTGTAATAAAAAAATCTTGCAACTATTATTTACAATAGATTAACAAGACAAATTAATAGTTTGTTTGTTTTGAGTTTTTTTTTTTTAAAATGATTTTGATAGTGTTAAATAATTTTGAATAAAAAATATTTATAAAGATATTTTTCATAAAAACTTCAAATAAAAATTGAATTTAAATAGTTATTCTTAAAATATTATTTTAGATATTTTATATTTTTATTAAAAAAAACTAATATTAAAATTTCAAAAAATAATTTATTTTAAAATATAATTTTTTGAAAAAAAACGATTTTGATTATTTTTAGTCTTCAACAATATATGTTTATATTATAGAATGTCAGTGCTTCAATTTAGAAAAAATAAATATAAAAAAATTTATAATATTTTAAAAAACAATTTTATAAAATATATTTTAAAAAATATAAAAAAAAATTATTTTTTAAAACTGAAACAAACACTTACCTACCATATTTTTTAGATATATAACACGTTTATTATGGGTCTGATTGTTTTCGTTTTAAAAATAATTTTATAGTATTATATATTTTATTTAAAAAAGTAATAAATAATTTTTTAATAAAAATTTTAAATAAAAAATTAATTTCAATAATTATTCTTAAAATATTATTTTAAATGTTATATAATTTTATCATAAAGTTTTTTAATATCAAAATTTCAAAAAAGTTATTTAATTTAAAGTTAATGTAAATAATTTTTTTTATAAACAACTTTTTAAGATATAACTTCTTTTTAAAAACTTTCGATTTTGACTATATTTTAATTTTCAATAATATATATTTATATTATAAGATATCAAAATTAATTTTTTAATTTATAAAAATCAAATTCAAAAAATAAATTAAAAATGGAAATGATTAATGTTGATGTACGGAAAAATATAATTGAAATAAAGTTGGTTGTTGTAATTTGATCTACTATATGTTAAATTTCATTAAATGAAAAATGTAAATATCCAGGGTGGCATTACTCTGAAAACAATATTAGTAGTAAATTAAAAAGGCAAAGTTATGCGTGAGGAAGTGAAGAAATGAGGTTAGATTTTTGTTGGGAAGTAGCAGCAATAGGATAGTAGTAGTGATGAAGAAGAGAAAGAAAGAAATGAAAACCAGAATTGATGGGTTGAAAAATGTCCTTTGATGCAAAGCAACAAGTTAAGGGCAGTCACGACCTGAGTGAGAGAAATGGCCACGTAGGTTTTCTCTCTTTAAGACGAGTCTGCAGGAAACACTGACTCTTGTGTGAATCAGTGACCACAACGAATATATTCTTGCCTAATATTTTCAGACACATTTATTGCCTTCAACTAACACATCCAATTATACTTTAAACTAACCACCAATAATATTAAACCAAAATAACTACTAGTTTAAGATCTAACCAAAATAATTACTACACTATTACAATTACACCTTTAAAAATATTTTATATTTATTATGTTTATTTTTGTGTGCAATATATATTTTTTTAAAGATATTTCATGAGTTTAATGTAGATTTATTTATCATCCAACAAAAATATTTTTTTATAAAATTTAAATAACTTAAATATTTCATTTTTGACCGAATACGTGATCATCATTGATTGACGGTATAAAATTAATTTATTATCATTATTTTTATATTTATTATGTTTATTCTTGTATGCAATATATATTTTTTCTAGATATTTTATAACTTTTATAATATAATAAATGTAGTACTTTATTTTTAAATATAAAATAAAAGCTGATTAATTTATTTTATTTTATTTTAATTTATTTAATTTAAACTAAAAATAGTTTTCTTATACCAACTCATGCTTATATTTGAGAGGAGTATTATATTAATATATTTTGTGCATTTTTTTCTTCTTAAAAATGCAAATTCGTACCTTTTTCTCTTTCTAAGAAAAAGTATACCTTTTTTTATTAGTTTTTATTTTTTTTTATATTCAACTAATTAGTATGCATGTAAAGAAATATTATTGTTACATTCAATTACTTTTTTATTTTTTAAATTTTATTTATATTAATATATAAATATAAATAAATATAATTAATAATTAATATTAAATCAATCGCTTACATTTATTTAACTCAATTAATATATATTAATTGAATTACATCATACATTTTTTTTATTCAATTATATATATATATATATATATATATATATATATATATATATATATATATATATATATATATATATATATATATATATATATATATATATATATATATATATATATATATATATATATATATATATATATATATATATATATATATTCTAATTTGATATAATATGAGATGATAATTGAATAACAGTATAAAATTATTTTATGTCAATGCATATCCTATTTTCTGATTATATATTTATTGAATTATTAAAAATATTTAGTTGTATGTTTTTTACCAAAATTTATTGCACTTTAACTAAAATTATATTAAAAGTAAATAAAGATTAATTTAGATCTGATTTAATTTATTATTATTAAAATAAAAATCCGTAAAAACAAAAAGTAATTATTTAAAGATAAAATTATATTTAAAATAGGATAAGATCAAATTAAAAATGGAATTAGTATTAAATAAAAAATAAAAATAAAAAGAAAAGGATAAACGAAAAACTTAAAATTCCTTTTATAGTTAAACAAAGATAGTATATGAATTAAAATATTAATTAATTATAAATGTTTTGTGATTTGTTGTTTAATGATATGTGATTAGTGTATTGCTGTAACCCTCTTTATCTGTTGTGTTGATAACCCCATTTAAACCTCAGATTTTTGTCATCACTTCTCATTCTAACCATCATCATCACTTCTCATTCTAACCATCATCATCACTCTTTGCATAATCCTCTCATCACTTTCTTTCTCCCAAACAACACCATTATCCCTTTCCTTTGTTTTTTTCCATTTTGTTTCTTTTTATTTCCCCTTTCCACCCTACATCAACAACAAAACCCTAATCTCTAGAAAAACATGGACATGACCTCAAGAAACATAGATGTTGATTCTCAAACACCACAACCCAGTAACAATATCACACCAACAACCTTAAAGTCCTCACCTTTCACCAACGGCACACACAAACGCCACCTTTCCACCACCACTCCATCACCCATGGTGCTTTCTTACAAAGAATGTCTCAAAAACCATGCTGCGTCTCTAGGTGGACATGCACTTGATGGCTGTGGAGAATTCATGCCTTCATCAACCGTTAATCCAAATGACCCTAGATCCCTCAAATGTGCTGCTTGTGGCTGTCACCGGAACTTCCACCGCCGTGAACCACAAGAACAACACATCATCACCACCACCATCACCAACACCACCGCCACCGCCACCGCCACAACCGACACCCCCACCAACGCCAACGCCACCTCCACCGCCACCGCCAACCCCACTTTTCCTAACTGCATCTATACTCCACCATCAACAACCGTTCCACCACCACAACCACCACCGCCATTACAACTCCCCCACCGTGGCCCGATTAGTCAAAGCACAAGCCCAAGTCAAAGCACAAGCCCAACCTCAAGCCCGAGCCCAACATCAAGCCCATCCTCTCCACCACCACTCTCACATTTACCACCTTATCATCACCACTCTTCAGCACCTCACATGCTGCTAGCACTTGGAAATGCTTACTCAACACCACCACACTCCGATCATGATCAACATCAACACCAAAATCAACCCAATCAAAGGAATCTCAATTTTTCTTCATCAGTGATAAAGCTCGAGAACCCGAACAACAACAACAACAACGGCAACAGCAACAACTCAAGCGGTGGAAGAAAGAGGTACAGGACAAAATTCAGCAAGGAGCAGAAAGAGAAGATGTATGGATTTTCTGAGAAACTGGGTTGGAGAATGCAGAAGGGTGATGATGGAATGGTACAGAAATTCTGCAATGACATTGGTGTTCCAAGAGGGGTTTTCAAGGTTTGGATGCACAATAACAAGAATTTGAGGAGGAAATCAGAATCTGAGGTTGGAGTTGCAACTCCAACAAATGGAAATAATAATAATAATAATAATAATCAGAACAACAACAATGTCATTCATATGGATGAAGATGGATGTGTCAATGTTCATGTTTCTTCTGTTAATGTTTTATCCTCTTAGTTTTTATTTTTATTTTTTCAGAGAGTTAATTAGATAAATTATGGGAATTAAGGTGGTAGAGATTTTATTTTTACCATGATTAGTGATCCTTTTTGTTTATTACCATGGTTTTTAGTTTTTTTTCCTTTTTAATTTAAGGTTTTAACTTTACCTAATTTGATGTGTGTGACAAACATGAATGTGATGGAGGCCACATCTATTTTATTTAAGTGAAGTTAAATGCAATAGCAAATAAAGGTCTTGTTTATGTTTATCTATAGTATTTATCATGGTTAATAGTTATCGATTATTGAATTAAGATGTTTGGTTAATAATACTCGAGTTTCATTTCAGATAGCCAAGTCTCAAATCGGTTATAATAGAGGTGGCAAACAAGAATATCTTTTCGAGTTTAAATATGAATAAGTATGAATCGGTTCTATGTCTGTTGTGTTTAAGTATGTCTTGCAAAAGTTCGAAAAAAAATACAAGGATTTTAGGACTCAAAAGTTTAAGTTTAAGAAAGGTTTTGAATTTTGTTTTATTTAGTTATAATAATATATAATGATATATTATACACATAAATTATTATTATAGTTAAATTGTTAAAAAAAAATTTTTTTGGTTTTGAATTCAACTCTTAACAATTATAAGATCATGATTATCGGTGTTCTTTGAGAATTCCTACACATTTATTAAATAAATTGTGTCAATAATAAATGAATATTTCATAGCACGCTTACACTCCAATTATGTGGGTCATGATAATAAATTGCAAGAACTCAAATGGGTATGATGGATGTAGATGCTTTAAAATTTTTATTTTAAAATATTTTTTAAAAGTTTTATTTTAAAATTTTCTTTAGGTCTTCGAATCGATTGCGCTTCTAAAAATAGGCTATTTTATAACATTTTCAAATAACCTATATGTAAACTATTTTATTTAAATAATTTTAAATATGTAATTTAAACAGTTTAAAATAGATTAATAAATTAATTAGATTAAATATTTATTTGCATTGATATATTCAAATTTATTTATTAAATATATTTTATGATAATATTTATTTAAGATAACTTATAAAAACAATTATAATACTGTTTATAAAGTTTTTTAATTTATTTTTGTAAATTTTTTTAAACAATTAAACACATTTTTATGTATTTAAATAGACTGGTCTAATAAATTTAAAAGATTTTTTTTTTAACATGTGATCTAATCTTTTCAACTAAATAAATTTATAAAATAATTTGAATTTTTTTTTATTTAAAAATAAATAATTTTTTGTTTAATATACATTAGGTTGTAGGTTTTTGTTTTTTGGTCGGTCTATTTCTACTTTTAATAATATTGAATCAGATTAAATCGTAAATCTTTGTCATTGGCCGCTCTATTTTTAGTCCCTAATAATATGAAATCTAAGTTCAATTTTACAATGGTGTAATATTGGATTAGTTTTAAGCTTTTTTCTACTAGTCTAATAATCAAAATTTCACCTTTTAAAAGTAAATAAAATTTTCTAATAGTTTAAAGATTAAAATTTCACTTTTAAAAATGAATAAGTGATAATCGTATTATTTTGCAATTGGATGTCATTGCCCAATTATTATCCATAGTAAGTATAATATTTATATTTGATTCATTTTTTAGCCATTGACATCTAATTTCTTTTAATTGACATTAAGACTACATTAAATTTCTTTTAATTGAGATTAAAACTACATTAAATGCATTTGAGTACACCAATTTAAAACCTTAGGAGAAAGTGTCAGTCTATTTTTCTATTAAAATTTTACTTTAAAAATTTGTTTCTTCTCACAATAGACTAAGAATTTAATTAGTATGATACCAAAAGCACACGTTACATATGATCAGCAAGGTATTCATAATATCCACCTCTAATTATTGTCACATTTTCCCCTTGAAAACGTTAAAATATTAATTACATCTAACCACTTTTTCCTAAAGAATCCACCTCTCAAATTGCCCATACTCATTTGTGCAACACACAAAACTTTATCAAATATGGGTCGAAACTTATCTGCAAATTTGTCTTTATTCATTTATGAGGGTCTCTTACTTTTACAGGATTCTGTACTCAAGATAATGATAATCCATAAACATTGCGTAACATATATAGCACTAAACTAATGTAGTTTATTTTATGATATGGTTTTTATTTTGTGAGTGTGTGGTCCTAGAGAATTTTTGACCAAAGGAAGAAAAGAAAAGAATCCATTAATAATATGGAAAATGACATTAGTAGTACCAATTTGCCAATTTTGTGTTTGTTATTATCTTCTAAATTGAGTTAATTCTATTTGAAAACCGTGCAAGTTTGTGTTTTTGGTATGAAAAGGAATCAAAGATAATGTTTTGGAATTAGAAGGTGGCTTTGAGATCATGTGAATTGTATATGGTCGTGTTTGTTTATTATAAAATTATAAATAAACATTATCTAATGTTGAATTTGAGTCGATAAATAATAAACAATTTAATCTTTGAAATTGTAAGGGCAAAGTTGTAAATAGCCAATCAAAATATAATATGGAATTGAAAATGTAAATATTTATAGATAATTATATGTAAGAGAAATACTTTTTAAGAATGAATTTCTGAAAGAAATGCTTGTCAAAATTAGTCTTTGCGGAAAATTATCTGGTCATGTAGATAGCTGCACTGTCATGTTTTGGGAGTTGATCTACAACCTATCTAGAAATTGCAGATAATATTCATCTGTTTAACCGGAAAACAAAATTAGCTTCATGCAATGTCATGATGCATGAAATGTATTTTATAATGATGCTATCAAAATAAATGAGAAGGATATATGTGTTTCGTATGCATATGTTATGATATTCTGTAAATGCTGTATGGATGCAATATGTCGTTGGAGCGTATCGGTAACTTCTTGTAACAACGTCTAGCTGGGGAAAATAAATCCATGGCTGTTGCTGGGGATGAAAGAAAGTAATTCTTCAATTTTATCTTGAACGACTTTACTGGAGATTCCCGCTTCTGTTTGAGGACACTCCGCTGGAGATGTTCGACTTCTGCTTGGGGATAGAAGCATTCAAGGAGAGTTGGTCGTTCGTCGTTCTTTTTATTGAGGATCTGATTCTTATGTACCCTGACTGGGGATAAAAGAGATGGATATTTCTCGGATGCGCCTTCTGACCAGGTTTCAGATATGGGTATCAGCTCTTCTGGGGAGGACAACGTTGAGTGACATCTGGCTGGAGAAGAGAACTTTGTCGGGGATTTTGCCGTATTAGAGAAATAAAATCTATTGGAGAATTAAATCCTTTAGATTGCGTTGAGGAAAAATTTATGATGGGGATTGGAAATTCATAGGTGTGATCGGTGGATCTGGAACTGACTGTTTAACGCTGGTTCGCGAAATGTCGCGGAAAGCAAGAGTCGCCACCGTCTTTTATTTTCTCCAACAAGGAAAGGACAAAAGCACAGAAAAATTCCTTATGAGATTGCTCTCGGTTCGGGAGGTAGATTTATAGAAAGGGAAGGTGTTAGCACCCTTTCTATCCATGGTTATCCATGGGCTCTTAGATACTTGCTCATTTGTGTTTTCAAAATGTTTGTTTGCTTTTCAAAGTGAGTGGGTTTGAAAAAGTTTCTTTGAAAGTTTCAGACCGACACTTGTATCAGTCCTCAAGAGTGTTTGAAAAGTTGTTTTGAAAGCTTTTTGCAAAGTGTCGGTGTGAAAAGAAGTTTTTGATTTGTTTTGAATTAGAGCAAGTATCTACGAGTCATCTACCTACCCTAAGGAATTAGTCTGTGTAAATGTCCTTAAGGTAGTGCCATCCCACCATTGAGAGGTAGGTAGCACCACCGTTGGAGGTATTCGGGTCAATTCGAGGGTTAGGGACAGTGTGGTCACCGAGCAATAGTAAGATACCTTAGAAGCTACCCTTATGCCACTGATCTTTTTATTCCGAGGCAACCGTTTCGAGGAAACTAGATCAATGGAACATAAGGACTCACTAAGACGTCCTATACTCGACGACCACGTTTCGAGGGGCAAGGCAACAGTGTGATCACCAGAGCAACAGTAGGATACCTTAGAAGCTACCCTTATGCCATGTTCATGGACATAAGGACTTACTAAGACGTCCTATACTCGATGACCACCTTTCGAGGGGCAAGGCGACAGTGAGGTGTACCCTAAGAGTGGTGTGTGAATTGTGTGTCATTTTCAGTTTATTATTTGTCTTGTCATGCATTGGTGATCTATGTTTTGATTTTATTTTTGGGCATTCATTCTTTCATGTGATTAACAGTTTAAAGGGTGCGGAAATTAAAATGCGGAAAATATAAAGGTCCTACGCTATTACAAAGGCGCGGGTCTACAACGCCAAATTAATCCAGACCCGATTTAAAATAAAGTGCAGAAAATAAATGCCTAATTAACTATTACAGGGCTTTGGAACAAGTACATTATATTCACAAAGAGAAATAAATAAAACGCACGAAACAAAATTGTAATCGAATGCGAGGGCGTTGGACCCTTTAAAGGAATTAAATCAAAATTATTAAAATAATTAAGTTAAATAAAAAGAAAGAACTTATTTTTTATGTTTTTTGTATTTATGACATTAAAGAAAATTAAATTGGAATTTAAAAGTTAAATAATTCTAGTTCTAATTGTTTTTAATTTATTTAAAAAAATGTATTAAAGCTAAAACCTAAAATTAGAACTAAATTGATTATAAAATTTATTTACAAAATTAATGGTTAATGATAATTATAATAAAAATATTTAATTAAAAAAGGATAAAAAAAAATGCCAAAGGTCTATTTTTTTATATATTTTTGGTTATTAAAAAAAGGAATTAAAGTTAACAACCTAAAATTAAAAACTGAATTGATTATTTAAATTATTTACAAAAAAAGAGTTATTGATGAATTAAATTAAAATGAAACATATTTTTTTGTTTTTTATGATTTTCTGATTTTTTGGCTTTTATGAAAATTGTTTTGATTAATTAATTAGAAATAAAAC